CCTCTGCAGATTTGAACATAGTTGTAAGGATAAGACGTTTTGTAATATTTTATATAAATGGCAGATTTGAGGGAATTCCCCAAAGAAAGTGAAGTGTTAATACTGTTGAGAAGAGGTTCTGAGATTACAAAAATAACCTCTTTCAGTAGCTTAGAATGTAATGGATCTAACGTACATGTTGTTGACTTTGAGGACTGGTTAAAGGTGCAGTAGGACTTCTTGGAAAATGCTAACTTTAGCCTGATAGCACTGAAAGTGAATGAACCACCCCCCTGGAATCACCGTCCCAAGCCACGCCCCCTGAACGCATTTACACTCACAGACCAGAATACCAGAGACAACATTACTACAATAGGCTACATCAGCGGTTCCCAATTCCAGCCCATGTTCCGAAGTGAAGTAAACTTCAACGGATTTCCCCCGCTCAGGGTAGCTCACTTCTAACGAGCTGGCGCGAGGACTGGATTAACCGCTGGGCTACATCATGTGTCATTCACCGTGAGAAAACTTTAAAAGTACTTCAATACCAGGAAGGAAGATCGGGATGTTGATGTTTGTCTGCCATTCTCGCTCTGTCTGCACAGTGTGCGTGAACGCTGATGACGTATCCTGTCTGCGTGAACCCGGTGCGCAGAGGTATGCTAATACATACGTTGACAGGCAGGTAAGAAAGCATATTAAAACACTCGGACCGAGTGTTTTGATTGGACGAACATTTCTTGGTCCTACGCCTTCCACAGAATATATAAATACAGATAAATACATTTAGACCACTTAACTTAATGATTGCTATGGGGGTGTGAAGAGACTTTCAACCAGCATAACAAAAAATGTTTCTGAAGACAATCACCTATTGCACCTTTAAGTTCTTTCAGTTCTATAACACTGAAGGATTTAAATTTCTTGTAAAGAGAAAGTGTCTTTCGAGGAGATATGGTGTGAGGATACATAGTTCCAGTTTTCTTTATAATGGCCTCAATTTTATGATAATGAAATTCATAAAATCATGTTACATTAATAATCATCAGTTACATAAAAAATAGATTGAAGTCTTACATTGATTTTTGTTTTTGTCATTAATTTAAACAGCAGAGAAACTCTCTGAAATGATGTGTGTTATTTACCTACAAGTAGATAGAGGTCACTCTTATACTGTTATTAGTGAAAAGTCAGATTGGAAACTTAACATATGAACAACTGCATGTGTCATATAGCTTAAGATTTTTGATTTTGAATGTTGAATTTTGACTTGTTTTCCAGTAAAAATATGTTAAACACACCTTAGATGAATGAATGAATGAATGAATGATTGAACAAATGTTTTTAAATATAAGTGTGTTTTGTTTTACTTTGTCTAACTCATTTACCATTAATAAATATCAGTATCCATCATGCTTAATAAATGTCAAAGACTGTAAGTTCACAAGTCAAGTCAAGTCACCTTTATTTATATAGCACTTTTAACAATACAGATTGTGTCAAAGCAACTGTACAGCATTAATTAGGAAAATTGTGTCAATAATGCAAAGTGACAATAGTAAACACTCATTTTTCAGTTAAAGGCAGTTCATCATTGAATTCAGTGATGTCGTCATCCAGCTCAGTTCAGTTTAAATAGTATCTGTGCAAGCCAGAGGCGACAGCGGCAAGGAACCAAAACTCCATCGGTGACAGAATGGAGAAAAAACCTTGGGAGAAACCAGGCTCAGTCGGGGGGCCAGTTCTCCTCTTCTGATATTCAATAAGCCAAGCTTTATCATTTGTTTATCCGTATGACATCTGTTTTTTATTTGTTGAACATAAATTAAATTGTTATTGAACACAATCCATTCTCACTCCCAAGGTGTAAAAAACAGAAGCATGGTCAAGAGCAGTGTTTCATTATTAAGACGCTAATGGTACCCCTAGGATTTATCTTGGCAAACTTGGCATTCTGTTGCTTTCAATTGCTTGCCTTATGTGTCAGATCAAGACACGTTTATTCTTATCAACAATTAATTGCCAAATGTGTTGCAAAGATTGACAAAAAAGTATAAAAGTATTACAAATTACTCATGTTGCATTCCAAGTCTTCTGAAGTCTATCTTTACGTAAGGAACAGTTCAACTTAAGGTATTAATTGGTCAAAATGTCCCCACTGTGCAAATGATAATGAATTTTCCATGCTGTCTATTTATTGATGCCAAAGGTTTCTCATTAAATGCAATTCCTAGTTCTTTGATACAGCAGTGCCTAGGGGTACCTTTAGTGTCTTACAGTTTTTCACATTTGCTAAGACACTAAACCCCATTCTCTGAACCAAATTCTCAATAGCCTAAACCAATTTGTCAAATAAATCACTCTTTCTGCAGAACCTTAAACAAGTTCAGACAGTTTAGACACTGTTTGCAGATCTCATGCACTCTTTTGCAAAACTCTAAACACATTCTCACTCACTAAAATGCAATTTGCACTGTGATAAACTTGTGATGCAAAACCCTAAACACGAAAAAGCAAAAGTTAAGCACAACTGCAACATGGTTGTCATTGTTTACACACAATAATTCAAAACTGTTAAACTTGTTTCTAAATATGTGAATGTACAAAATGCATAACAGAAGAATGTATTTTTAACCAAGAACAGTCATTTCAGATGAAATCAGAGCTATTCTCTGAACCAAATTCTCAATAGCCTAAACCAATTTGTCAAATAAATCACTCTTTCTGCAGAACCTTAAACAAGTTCAGACAGTTTAGACACTGTTTGCAGATCTCATGCACTCTTTTGCAAAACTCTAAACACATTCTCACTCACTAAAATGCAATTTGCACTGTGATAAACTTGTGATGCAAAACCCTAAACACGAAAAAGCAAAAGTTAAGCACAACTGCAACATGGTTGTCATTGTTTACACACAATAATTCAAAACTGTTAAACTTGTTTCTAAATATGTGAATGTACAAAATGCATAACAGAAGAATGTATTTTTAACCAAGAACAGTCATTTCAGATGAAATCAGAGCTAATGTGATAGACCATGTTCTTGTGCTTGGAATGACAGAGGCAGAACAAAGAGTTCAACCTAAATTGAGCAGATTCTCTGTGGCCACCATAATCAGTGGAAAGTTCAAAAGAACAGCACAAGAAGAGTGGAAGAGAATCTTGTGTAGAATTACAAGATTAACACGTTATGGTGGAAGAACTGGCCTGTGGTGACATACTGTAAACGTGCTGTCTTGTCAAGGCTGGATCCGCCACACCAGAGGGTTTTTTTCCACCATTGCCTGCCTGCGACATAGATGAAGTCCTCTGATTCATATGTATATATGTATGTATACATGTATATATTGTATGTATATATATATATTGTAACGGGGTGAAGAATCACACGACAAGTAATCTCAATCAATACCCCGGAGGGCACCAGTCTCTCCCGATCAGCACGGGGAAGGGAAGATCCTTCATGACCCCGACTTCCACCGGCCAGGCGCCGGGAGCGGCCGAAATGTTTAAATTCAAGTCAAGTCACCTTTATTTATATACTGCTTTATACAATACATATGGTGTCAAAGCAGCTTTACAGTGTCAAACAGGAAAATAGTTAGTCAATAATGCAAGAGGATAATAACAAAATAGTTTTTCAGTTAAAGTCAGTTCATTGTTGATTCAGGGATGTCATCATCTAGTTCAGCTCTCTTGTTTCTGCTATCAAGCAAGCAGTATTGCCAGAAATTAAGCATCCCCAACTAAGCAAGCCAAAGGCGACAGTGGCAAGCCAAAACAACATCGGTGACAGAAGTGGAAAAAAAAAAAAACAGTTAGACACTGGCAAAATAAATGGTCGCGGAGCAGGTGCTCTGTAGGCTGTATGACTTCAGGCCAGGTCTTTTATCAAACGTAAAGTTTGGTGCAGATTGAATGTGGTATGTTTGAGTTAGTGTAAAATATGACATATCCTGTTGCCAACAGCTATGATTATAACTGAATATTGGCCTTTAAATGTCTTCAGGCCAGGACTGTTACCAAACATGTGAAGTTTGGGGCAGATTGTACACTGCATGTTTTAGATAGTGTAAAACTTGACATTTCCTGTTTCCAACAGGTGGCGCTATGATTATAACTGAATATTGGCCTTTAGATGTGTTCAGGCCAGGACTCTAATCAAACTTGTGAAGCTTGGGGCAGATCAGACATTGTATTTGTATCTTTTCCATGGCGAAACATTTAAATTTGTCAGGCCGCCACGGACACACCCTTTAACGAAAACTCAAGATCTTCGCAATTTAACATTGCAAAGGCCTTTAGATTAGACTGACTAAATATAAATGTTGATATCATTAAATCTCTAGGAGGAGTTGATTACAGCATAAAACATGCCACCTCCTGTTGCCAGGAGGTGGAGCTATGGCTATAACTAAATATGGGCATGGACATGTGCTCAGGACAGGCCTCTTATCTAACATGTGAAGTTTGGGGCAGATCAAACATTGTATGCCTGAGTTATAACAACTTCCAGTTTCATGGCGAAACATCGAAATTTGTCAGGCCGCCATGGACATGCCCTTCAAAGAAAACTCAAGATCTTCGCAAATTAACATCACAAAGGGTTAGACTGACCAAATTTGGTGTTGATCTGATTAAATCTCTAGGAGGAGTTTGTTAAAATACAATGCCTGGAAATGGCAAAAAATTACACAAAATTTGCTGAGAACATGTAAAATAACTGACTTCCTGTTGAGTTTTGGATTTTGCTCCAAGATACTTTTTTGTAGGTATTAAATATGTCACATGTGTCATTTTCGTATAAATGTAGCTTGCAGGGCACTCCGTTGAAAGTGAATAGCTGGCACTATCGAACCATATTCCCACACCCACTACTGAAACCTATATCAAACGTAAATTTTAACCACAATCACCTTGTATCTATAAGGGTATAATTTTTAGTCTATAAATCAAATCAAAACTGCCAGCGAACACCATGCACAAAGGTTTAAAAAAGGTGATATCTTATCTGTCACAGGATGAAGGACTTACATGCTCAGTTGCTGGAGAAAGATGCCATGATTAAAGTCCTACAACAGCGTTCCCGTCGAGATCCCACTCCTCTGCGTCCTGCCCGCTCTGTGCCCTCCATTTCCATAGCAACTGGACTACACACACGTCACTCATCACAGACCGATCACAGAGGTAATACATATACAAATACATTCATTCTGATTAAAGTAATGTGCCTTATTTTTTCTATAATGTATCATACACACAGACAGCAGGGGTTGGACAAAATAATCTGAACACCTGGGAAATGGGTGATATTTCTTTTTTAAGGTGTTTCACCACCATTTGCAGTTTTCAACATTCTTAGAATAGATTTTCAACATTCTTTGAATAGATTCATACAACTATCAGAACATAGTTGCTTAAGAGATGTTGAAGGAGGGAATCTGCTTCTCACTCTACTATCCAAAAGTGCCCAAGGTGGTTTGATAATATTTAAAGCAGGTGATTGGTCAGGGCAGATGTTTTTGGTGCTCCAACTATCCAGGATTTGTGATAATAACACATTACAGCTCTTAACTTAACAATTACAGCTCTTCCATGGGTGTTGGCTTTGTAAAGTTCTCTGTGGTCGATTTGTGGAAACAGGGACTTCAGGGTAAATATTGAGGTTTGCTGTAACTTTGCAGTAGTAGTTGTGTGTTTTTTGGACACAGTCCTTCTTAGTGTTCGATGGGTCCCTATCATTCACTTTCAGTTTTCACCCACTATTGTTCTTTACAATTAAGACTGTGTACACAAAGCATGGCAAGACTTCATCAGCAAAGACTTGTGTGTATATATAAAATGGAATATAGAATATAATCTTTTGTAACAATGTACTACAGTTCAAAAGTTTAGGGTCAGTAATTTTTTCTTTCTTTATTTGAAAGAAATTAAAACATTTTCAGCAAGAATGTGTTAAAGGTCCCATATTGTCAAAACTGAAATTTTCTGGCTTTTTTCACGATTACTGAGGTCTAGGGCCTATTTAACTACCATATAAGTTTCAAAACAGTCAGTCCACAGTAAAATGCACACAGCCTGCTGGGTCTGAATACTTTCCGTACCCACTGTATATATATATGTAAAGCAACACAACTGTTTCCAAAATTGATGATAAATCAGCACATTAGTATGATTTCTGAAGGATCATGTGACACTGTAGACTTGAGTAATGGCTGATGAAAATCCAGAAATGGCAGTGTAAATGTCTTTTGACACTCATTACTGCAATGTGACCATGTGCTACTAGAGGTTTTACTTAATAATGGTTTGTGTTTTTGTTTGCAGATGTTCTCCTGGGAAAACAACAAGCAGAGCACATCCTTCCCTCTCTGCCCTCTCTTTTGGTCTCTGTCTCTTCATCTCTCCCTGCCTCCTCTCTTCCTCCATCATTCTCCTCCTCTCTACCTTCCTCTTTTCTTCCCTTCTTGGCCTCCACAGGTTCAAAAACATCATTAATAACCTCATCCTCCTGTGTTCCCCGTTCCAGCACTTCCTCTCTCCCTCCCTCTTCTTCTTCCATATTACCCTGGCCCTCATCTGGCTCTCTTCAGCCTCCTTTATCATTCCCTCTCCCCTTCACTCCTCTCCTGTCTCTTCATTCTAAATCTGCCAGCAGAGACAGCGGCAGTCAAACAGGACTTAGTCCAAAGATATTTAGTGCTGCAACCTCCACAATACAAGAAAAGACAGGTGAGACAGGCAGAAAGAAGCAAGTGACAATGTAGCTTCTGTATCTATACATTCATGTGCAGGGCAGAGTTCTACTCAGGAATTCAAGTCACCATGAAATCAAAATTGTCTGTTCTCATTTTTTGTTGAATCCTCCAGTGTTTATTGCGAATGATTTATCCATTCACATCTTAATTTAAAAAATCTTTCATCAAAAACATTAGTGTGCCCTTCCCCCTTGCTATGACATCTCTGTGAATGGCCAGGCGATTTTCAATCCCTCCCCTCCAGAAAACTGTCACTCATATAAAACATTTATCCATTTAGTTTGCACTTTCTATGATCCAGTCATGGACAAAATCAAGTCCTGTGTTACTTTTTATCTCAGTCGATAAGCCACTTCAATTGGGTATACATGCCAGCTTTAAATTGAAACTCAAACTCGCCTTGCAAATGAGATCCTGTGATCCTTTACCATAACAACTGGTACTGCCAAATTTCTGACAATTACTTACAATTTCTTGGGATCCATCAAATAGCAGGGTCACTTAGTTGAATTAATAACACTGGCTGCTTTTTGTAGAATCTCTGCCCAGTCAATAAATGTAGACCACAAAAATACAAAGTAAAATACAATGGAACAGTGGAACACATCTTGTTAGAAGCTTAGTAAACACAATAAAAGCTTTTTCTTCTACTGCATTGAATCCAGAGCTTATCCACCAACAACATACAACTATGAGACAAAAATTCAAGTCTTGATGTTTTTGTACATGGTGCTGTGAGTGACACAATGACCTTTTTATCACAATTATAGACCCCTACTGAAAAAAATGATGAATGATTCAAATGGCTAAAATACTAGCATCTAATGCTAGTATAGATATTAGTATCTCAAGAAATAGTGCTAGTATAATATTATCACTGAAAAAAGGTGACTAAAAAAAAAAATTTTATGTGCAGAATCTCCATCCAGCCAGGCTAAAGGCCTAGAAGGTCGAGGACAGAAGATGCCCCTGCCTGACCTAGATCTGGTGGAGATCCTTATCTGAAAGAACAACCCTGGAAGTAGCATTCTTACAGACAGGACAGCGCTTAAGAAAGAGTGAGGGAGTGTAAGGATGGTTTCCCTACGGTGGTTCAGGCTGTAGGATTGCCGAATGACTAAAGAAACGTTATCAGCACGATGGTATAAAACTGTACATTTCTAGTCTATTACCACCCACTGCCACTTATACCAACGACGGAAATAAGCGCAGTTAGAATAGCTATATGTGGGAGAGCGTTGCTATTGTGTGACTATTGTATTGCAATAGGTAGCACTTTAATATTAACCTTGAATCAAGACTAGTTAGCAGATAATTAATAATTGAAATGGTTTATTGGGACAGGAAAGCAGAAGTCTTTGATACATTTTGACTTTACAGGAGTGAAGAACAAAATATAAGACAGAAAAAGAAAGGAAGGCATAAAGAAAAAGATGTTGTATAATGTAATGGATCACATACAACAGACAGACAGAAAGGAGAGATTACAGAAAGGGACGAAGGAATGCAGTGCAAAGTAAAAGCTAGAATTCAGTATTATGCCTCCAAAATACTGAATTTGATAATTGATTCTAATTTTATTTCTGTCCATTTTTCACCCTGAAACAAACAAGGACTATGATATTTGACCTAGCCTATATACTTATTGCATACATAATGTCTTAAATTGCATTCTGTCAGATTATCAGCTGCCTCATAAGTGCATTCCACAAAGCTGTATATAAATCAGATAATATTTGTGTGAATCTACAGAAAAAAATGTTGTACTGAATTGTTATATGTACAACTAAATTATTGAATGCTGTTTAACTTTGATGGTCTTGTGGCAAATTGCTGCAAATAAGCTTGTTAATTAATTTTACAGCAATAACTGCTGTTTTGCATCACGTGTGTTTTAATTACCTGAAACAAACACCCATTGTTGTAAACTGTGTTCTTTGGCTGGGAATATTTTAGTGTCATGGTGACGTGTCAGGGGTCAATAACTATAATGCTTAGAGTCAGAATCCAATGATGCATGATTGATATCTACTTTAGTTTTAAACGCCTATTTCAAAACTTAAAATTCAGTTTTAATTTATTTAATTAATTTATTTATTATGATTATTATTATTTTTTTATTTTATTTTATTATTATTATTATTGTGATTTCCATGCTCCAAAAAATCCATTATTAATTTTGTGAAAAGCTCTCGGGTAATCAAGTCAATAAAATTAAAGGACTTTGGGCTGGATTAAGTAATTTTTTTTTTCAATTAGATAGGTTTCACAAAACTATAAACCATTTTTTCCCAGGAATAAAAATAAGGAAAAACTGAAAGAATTTCACTGAAAACCTTTACACAGAGCTCTATTCAGTGAAACATTGCACACATTCATTTTACATAAATTAAGCAGCATTTAGACACTATGTTGCAAAAAAGTCTGACATTCCGTTTATCTACATTTGAAAAAAAATTAAATAAAAAATAAGCATAATGTGCGGACACGTTATTCAAAATGTGTGAAACAGATCTGTCAAATTTTTCTTGCTGGTTTTCAGTTTTACATCTTCTGTTGCAAGGGAGAAAAAACATCTCAGATTTAGGAATTGGTTATATGGTGGTAGTAACATCATCTTACAGGACAGAAAGTGAACCATTCTTGTATGTGCACTATTGTAAATGCTAGAAGCTGAGATTGTCCCATATAACTGTATTGTGTGTTCAGGGGCCTCATGTATAAAACTAAAAGTGTGCTTACGTACAAAAGCTAGATTTTGCATATGCACAAATGTTTTCAGACGTATAAAACCATACGTATGCCAGAAACTGCGCAAGGCTGGCTTTATAAATCACAATTATCTAAATATTGTGCGCACGTGGTTTCAGTTTGCCTCAGTCTCCTCCCCAAAATAACCATATATGGAGCTGAAGACAGCCTTTTTTGAATATTTATGAGCTCACTGCATATTTAAATAACCAGTAATTTTCAAAGATTTGTTGGGTAAAATAATGGACGAACACAAACGCAAAGCAAAAAAAAAAAAGAAACTTTTCAGATTGTGAGATTGTGAGTGCAAACATCTGTTTGAAGTGTCCAAACATGCGAAAAGAACGTGCTCTTGCCTTAGTGTTCTCAGAATTGCACGTCCAAAGCGTGTGCTCCCTTTTTAGGGCTTGAGTCTGTCATGTTTTGCTATATGGAGTATTACAGTGATGGGCGCATAGCTGCCACAAATTATTTTTTCCACTCATGTCCTAACATCTCGTTGTTATGTCTTTAAATGTCATATTTGTTTCGTAATAACGACATATGTCATAAAAACAATATGTTTTTCCCATTGTAGAAGATTATATGGTTACAGTATGCGCTGCTGGAGTTGCCACAGTCCTGAGAAAAAAAAGAGGATCTGCACGCTGCTTAAGTTACTGCAGGAGGTATAATAGGAATACACTGTTTTAAATGTATTTCAATGTTATTGTTTTTATTGTAGCAACATGTTTATTATGATTAATCTGCAATCAGTCTACAATATAATGCTATCCAATAATTGAAAAAAAAGACATATTTTGTACGTGATGTGACAGGCCTTTATCCACTGATCTACAGGCCTAATATAGAATTTATAGGCTAGGCCTATGGATCAGTACTTCATCACATTTTTCGAAAATCAATGACAGTGTTCATTGCACGGGATTGTTGTGATTTACTGATGTACAGTTAATCACAGATACTTTATCTAAACATATCAACCACAGTTTATAAACATTGTGTATGAAACAATGCTGTATTCCGACGAGTAGGCTATTTCATTATTTAAAGGGGCGCGCGCAAGTGTACTGTATGTGCAAGTCTGACCACCTTTTTTATTAAAGAAATACAAGATGGCTGCTGCATGTTATTTACAAATCAGAGATGATTTTATTCAAATAGCCTTTGGCTTTTATGATCTAAAACAACATGTATGAAAATATGATAATTTGTTAATCTCAAAAGGCCTATTTAAGAAAAACCTTAGATGCAACATGATTTTACTCACTATTACAAGCAACAGTACAATTGTTTTTAGATAATAACATTGTTTCATGAATTGCTAAAACACATTTCTTGAAACCATCACTCATTTTCTCAAAACCTTAAACACAAATCCAAACCTTCAAACTAAATTCACAGAACCCCTGACTCTTCTGGCAAAATCAAGCAATCGCTTCAAAACCATTTCACCTGTACTCAAAATCAAACAATGCTTTCAAATCATACACACATTAGTCAATAATATACACACTACAGATCATTCATTAGACACTACATCAAAAAATGGAGAACAAACTTTTATTGTATATAGTAAATATTTTGCAATAAAACACACACATAAACAAAAGAAATCACACCTAAGTTTGGAATATATATATATATATCTTAGAGAATATACAAAAAACACACACACACACACACACACACACACAGTAGGCCTATATACAGTGCCTTGCGAATATATACCCCTTCATTTTTTTCACATTTTGTTTTGTTGCTGCCTTATGTTAAACTGCTTTAAATTAGTTTTTTTTCCCACAACAATCTACACTCCATACACCATAATTGTCAAGCAAAAAAACAGGTTTTTAACATCTTTGCAAATTTATTAAAAATAAAAAACTAAAATGATTCCATTGCATAAGTATT